TTCCTTGTGCTTTCCTGATGTATGCTGAAAGCTTCATCAAATGAGCAGTTATCATCATGTTAAGTGTCTCTCAGTGTTACTGTTCCTTCAGCAGAGAGCCTCTAAAACAGAGGAAGGGGTCAGTTGTTCATCTTACTTACAGGGGTTTCTTAATAAGCAAGTTGTTCAATGGTTTCACTCTCAGACTATTTGAATAGCTCCTCTGCTTATTGTATTAGTCTATGACAATTCTGGTACAACTTCTTGTTATACTTCCATCCGGGCACTCTGAGATCCTCATGAGGAGTCCGACTGTAGAGGAGGAATTTGACTAAAGGTTCTGTGAATGCCCGCCCACTGTTGAGTAAGACCTCAGTGCGGCAAGGCAGCTTAGGTAGGGATCTGATACTTTTGCTCCCTTTCTTTTGGAAGAACATTGAAGAGGCTGCAAACTCAGATGAAATGTGCTGTGTCCACACTCTGTATTTCTTTACCAGTAAATAGGGACTTCAGTCATGGAAGGCAACTCAGTGAGGATAAAAAAATAAAAATGGTGCTGGAACCCAGCTGTGTGGCAAAGGAAATGAGAATCTCATGATAATAAAAGCAAAAAGTCAGTGTTAATGCAACATACTTGCAATTCTTTTCAGGTGCTGAAGATGCCTCTTGGCAAAGGTTTTGGGTGGCTGAATTACAATTTAGGAGTCCTCAAGGGAAAGGGTGTTTAGCTATGGGTGAATCCGGCTGAAGCCCTCCTGCGCGGGAGAGTTAATGAGTGTTGAGTTCAGTCCATTCTGGTGGGTGTGGTGGCCAGATCATTATCAAACAAATCAGCGAAGTACAGTATTATAGTGGGTATCAAACCTTTTCATATCTACCTTACTAAAGAAACAAAACAGCTCTTGACAGTTTGAAATTACAGCCCTGGTTTTGAGCATTTCTTCCGAGTTCCACTGAATTAATAAAATTAACTGAATTGCCAAACTCGGTGGAGAGCTGCTGGTTAGCCGTTGTCGCAGAACCCCACATCTCGGGCGGAATGTGCTGCTTTACAATCGCTTTGTCTTGAATTTAAATGACGACCTTCACTTCCCGTGTCTCAGGCTACAGCAAGCTGCAACGGGAGGTAGCCCTGAGAAGGTGTTTGCTAATGAGGCTCTAGCACCCTTGACAGGTACGCTAGATAATTCAAAAGTGATAGATGATGGTGTACCACGTTTGGAAATTTCATTTAAAGTATATATTTATGTAGTTATTTGTGTGATCCATTGGCACTTTCCACAAGAGTAAGGGTGCTTGCCCTCTCGTCCTGGCCAAGTTCCAGTGTGGGTAATTACATTCTGACTACCTGCATTTCTGTAAATTTTCATCTGGATTTTGTTACTGTTGCTTATTTACATAGTAATGCATATGTACTTGGCAGTTTACAAAATAACAGCACAGGGTAAAAAAATTACAAAAATCCCTGCTCCAAATTACATTTAGTATTTGTACATGGATAAATATAGCGTGGCATGATGCAGTACAGAAAAAACACAAAGTGGCACATTCAGTAATAGCGTTCATAGAAGGGGTAGGTTTTCAGAGTTTATGAAATAGAAGAGAAAGTGCAATCCATGAAGTGCAGGTGTAAAAGGAGGCAGCGAAGGGGTGATGGAGACAAAGGAGAGCAGTGAGAAAACTAGATCGATCTAGGAGGGATGAGAAAATAAACATGGGATGAGCTGTAGTTCAGGAATGCTTTGTAGAAGACAGTCCTGCAAAAGCTGGTACACCATGGGTTAAGCTGCCAAG